ATGCATCTATCAACAAGTGAATCTAAGAATCAAGTGAATAAATAATCTGATGAACAGAATGAACTGGTGATTATAATGAATCAGGGACATAGAAAGGGAATGGACTGACTATTCTTGGGTGGGAAAGGGGTGTGGGAGATGTGGGAAGAGACTGGACAAAAATCGTGCACCTATGGATGAGGACAGTGGGTGGGGAGTGAGGGCGGAGGGTGGGGTTGGAACTGGGAGGAGGGGAGTTATGGGGAGGGGGGAAGAGGAACAAATGTAATAATCTGAACAATAAAGATTTAATTTAAAAAAAAGAAGACCAAAGTTGAAGGACTTAGACCACATCCTACACTACACCCTAAAATAGTGTAAAAAGGACACTATTTTAAGATTTACCATAAAGCTACAATAATAAAGACAGTATGCTATTAACATAGGATAGACGCCGAGGTCAATGGAACAGAGTAAAGAGCCCAGAAATAGACCTACTCATATATGGTCAATTAATTTTGGGCAAAAATGCCAAAGTAATCAATGCAGAAAAGATTTTCAACAAATGTTTCTAGCACAATTGACTATCCCAGGAAGAAAATAAACCTTACACATTGACTTACACTATTAACAAAATTTAACTTAAAATTGATCATTGGCTTAATTTGTAAATGCTACAATAAAAATGTTTAAAAGAAAACACAGGAGGAAAATGTTATGACCATAGTATATACAAAGAATTCTTAGTACCCAAAAAAGCATATATTATAGAAGGAAAAATTGATAAATTGGACTATGTCAAAATTAATGCAGGAGGCAAGAAGAACTTCTTCAGAGACGTGTAAGGAGAGGACAGAACCACCCGGATTACACAGGACCCCAAACTGAATATGGAGCATCCTGTTTCCTTCAGTCATCAGAACACGAGAGTCCAGCCACCTGGGCGCAGTTTTAACGTAATGTGTTCAACTCTTCAACTATTTGTCGAGCATCAATTAGAGCCAAAAATCACTCGGCTGTCATTCACTGGGGCAGAATAGAGTAGGGGCTAGGAGTTCAGGCTCTGCCTTTAAAAGAATGAGGTCAATCTATAAGGAACAATTTGTAGGATAATAAGTGACAAAAGTAAGGTGCAAAACTGTGTAGCAATGGGCATCATATGTATGAAGAAGAGAGGATATAAGCTTGTTTATGTACAGCATATCCCTGGAAGGATTCATTAAAAACTGGTGAAAATAACAGTGGGTAGGGATGAGGCTAAAGAAGTAAGCAAGGAAAATCATGTGCATGTAATGCCCTAGAGTTTGGACTCTGTGTCCTCATTGCTATGGGATGCCACTCAAAGACAAATGAGGGGAGAGATATGATTAGCTTTTTGTGTGAAGAATAGATCAGAAGGCAAGACAGGGAGGGGAGACCATTTAGAAAGGTGTGGGAGTAATCCATACTTGAAACTATGAGGGACTGAATTTAAAAATTAGGAGAGGGATGAAAGAATAGAAGTTTAAAGTACCGGCTCAACCTGATGCTGAAGGATAACGTATTTCAGTTTGGAACATTAAAATAGGAGTAATAGTTAACGTTTCTATTGCATTTGCTCCCCACCAAGTCCTGTTCTAAGTGCTTTACACAAATCAACTCATTCAGTCCAGCAGCATGGGGTAAATACTATTGTGATTTCTCACTTTACAGTTGAGGAACTGGGCCGCTCATAGGTTAACTAACTTACCTGAGGTTACTCTCCAGCAACTGGTATAACTGTAACCCACATGGAGGCAACCGAGGACCAGAGCCTGTCTGAGCTCTTGACCACTCCACTCTGCTGCCCTGCACACGCACATCGTTTAAAAGGTAGAGAAAAAAATAAGAGAAGCTGGCCAAGGAAAACAAAACAAATGATTAAGGAGGCAAAGGACAGCCTGGAGACCACAGTATCACAGAAATAAGGAAGGCCAACGCCTGTTTCTTACCTCAGTTGTAACTAAATACTCAATCCTGTACAGTTCACCCTGAACAATATGGTTTGAACTGTGTGGGTAGACTTATACTCAGATTTTTTTTCAATAAATACAGTCAGCCCTTTGAAATCTGCAGGTTTCACATCCAGGGTCAACCTGACAGAAAACAGTATTTTCATATTCTCAACTGCACTTTCCCAACTGAGGATTAAAAATTGTTTTTTTCTTAACCTAAAAAGTTTTTATTATGGTAATAGAGAGAATAAAATTTTCTATTTTAACCATTTTTTAGTGTAAAACTCAGTAGCATTAATTACATTCACAATGTTGTGTCACCATCACCACTATTTATTTTTAAAATTTTACATCTTCCCAAACTGAAATTCTGTGCCCATTAAACACTAACTCCCACTTCCTCTCCCTTTCCCCAAGCCTATCTCTAAAAATATTGTTTTCAATTCATGGTTGGTTGAATACACAGGTGCAAATAGCCAACTGCAGTTAAATCTTGGGGGAGTCAAAAATTACATGTAGATTTTCTAGTGTGTGGGGGTCGGTGCCCCTAATCCTCCACATTGTTCAAGGGTCAACTGTAACTGGAGGAAAACAGGCCTGGCTTACCTGAGAGTGGGAGGTACCACTTTTAGTATCTCCTTTATTATTTTACTAGCGGCCCGGTGCATGAAAATTCATGCACTGGAGGGGGGGTCCTTTAGCCCGGCCTGCCCCCTCTCACAGTCCAGGAGCCCTCAGGGGCGGGAAGCAACCCAGAGATCAGGGGAAGGCGATGCCCCATCAAATCTCTACTGCTGCCACTGCCAGCAGCGCAAGCCTCAGCCGGCCCTGGTTACCTGAGCCTCAGGCAGCCCTGGGTGGCTGGGCAGCCGATATCTGAGGCTTTCCTGCAC